TTGGAGATGTCTTAGATCCTTGTATTGCTAAGAAGGGTTAAGTCTATCAATATTAGTCATTACACAATGTGGCTGTTATTGTGCACAACATTTTCCTGGTTCTGCTCACTTCACTCAGCATCAAACCATACAAGTCTTTCCAGGTTTATCTGAAGTCTGCCTGTTCATCATTTCTTATAGCACAATAGTATTCTATTACATTCATGTATCACGTTAACAATTATGATAACTATCTGTATCTTTCTCTTCATCCTTCCCCCCCGTTTATGTTTTTCTTTCTCTTTTCTCCTTTTCCCTCCTCACGAATATTTTGCTTTTGACCACCACCTCACTCAGTTCCACCTCCATTCTATTAGCCCCCTCCCTTTTCTTTCCCCTTTTCCCTCCTACTGCTTATAGGGCATGTTAGATTTCTATATCTAACTGATTAAGTTATTCTCTTCTTAAACCAAATCTGATGAGAGTAAGGTTCAAACAATGCTCATCTCCCTCCCTTCTTTCCCTCTGCTCTAATAGTTTTTTGTGCCTTTTCCTGTGATGTAATTTAACTTTGTCTGACTCTTCCTTTCCTTTTTCATCAGTCTTCAAATACAAGACTCAAGAGAGACATAAAAAGGTAAATGGCACAGAAAGTAACAACATGTTATTAATAAGGGCAAACTCTTTACATCCCTACAAGGGAAGATGACACTTGTAACTCTTGAGAACTGTATTGTTATTACACCGTGTTAAAGGAGTATACATAAAGGGGTGCCAGTTCATATTCCCTTTTGAGGTTCCAGATGTGGGTTTGTTGACAATGCTGTCCTCGTCAGAATTTCTGCCTTGATCTTCACTCTTCCCATAATAAGAATCTATCATACGTTTCTTTTTGCTCATGGTGTTTGCTTATTTCCTGGCCTTTGAAGAGATTGGGCTCTCCTGCTGGGGAGCAGAGGGCACTGACCCGAGCTTCTTGTGTTGGGAGCTTAGGGCCTGGTCGATGGCTTTGTGTGCTGGGGCCTCCAATGTTGGCAGTTGGAGGCTGTAGGATTCTGGCAGTTTACCTGGTGTTGAGCTGGAAACAGCAATACTGGAACTCTAGAGGTAGGATTGGGTAGTGTGGCTCCTGGAGATTTCCTGCTCATCCAGGCCTTTCCTTCCTTTTGCTTTCTTCAGTTCCTTTCAGATGGATGTTGCAGGGTGTTTATCCACCTGGGGCCCCTTGGAGCGCTGCTTCCCTTAGCTTTGCCGAGGGACTAGGAGAGCCGGTTGCTGTAGAATGCTGAGGCACCTGGTGGTTTTCTGAGCTGGTTTTCACTGGTTCCCCTACCCTCAATGAGGCACTCGGGGTCCAGGTGTTGGTGTTTGCCTGCTCTACCACCTGGGCTTCAGGATCTCCTCCTGGTACGCTGAGGTGGGGCTTTCCACTAGCTTGCCAAGATGCCTCCCGATCTGTACTGCTCCCCTTCCCCCAGGGTAAGAGGGGCCTTTCCAGTTAATCCCTCAAGCTACTTGGGCTACTGGATTGCTGCACCCCATCTTTCTTCTGGTTCAGCTGTTCCAGGGTTTTTCCTGGGGTGATATTTTCTGGGCTTTTAGGGGTTAATAAGGGAGAGTAAGAGAGACTCACCTCTTACTCCGCCATCTTGGTTCCCGGAAGCAGAAGTCCCTAACATTCGTTTTTAAACTTTGAGTTTCAAATTCTCTCCCTCCCTCCCTCCCCCTCCCCCTCATTGAGAAGGCAAGCAATTAGATATAGGTTATACATGGGTAGTCATGTAAAACATATCCATAAGTAGAGTTGTGAAAGAAGATAAAAAAAAATCAATACCTCAAGAAAAATAAAGTTCAAAAAAAGTATGCTTCAATCTGCATTCAGACACCATCAGTTCTTTCTGTGGGGATGGATAGCATTTTTCATCATAATTCCTTCCAGAGTTGTTTTGGATCATTGTATTGCTGAGGACAGCTAAGTCATTTCCAGCAGATCATTTTACAATATTGCTGTTACTTTGTACACAGTACATTTCACTGTGCATCAGCTCATGCAAGTCTTTTCAGGTTTTTCTGAGAACATCCTGCTCATCATTTCTTGTAGTACAATAGCATTCCACCATAATCACAACTTGTTCAGCCATTCCCCAATTGATGAGCATCCCCTCAATTTTCAAGTCTTTGCTCCCAGAAAAGAGCTGCTATAAATACTTTTGCATATATAGGTTCTTTCCCTTTTCCTTTTTTAAAAAAATCTTTTTTGGGATATTGCTTTCCAGAATGGTTGAATCAGTTCACAACTCCACCAACAATGCATTAGTGACTCATTTGTCCCATATCCCCTCCAACATTTGTCATTTACCTTGTGAAAAGCTTTAAAAGCCAAACAGAGGATTTTATATTTGATCCTTGAGGTAACAGGGAGCCACTGGAGTTTACTGAGGGGTGTGAGTGACATGGTCAGAGCTGGACTTCAGGAAGAAGCCTTTGGCAGCTGAATGGATTAGAATGGGAAGAGATGAGACAGAGGGATGGGAAGAAGGAGACCAGTTAGATTTTTGTATCTCTAATGCCTGCAACACAGGTAGGCACTTAGCAAGATGCTTCTCTTGGTCTGAAACAATCCACTCTTCTGTGCTGGTTTTTTTTCTTCTTCTGTTTTCTGTGCTGTGTGGAGTAAAGGGCACATTTCAAGTCAATGATTTATGATTCTTTGGAGCCCCTAGCACCCGGAGCTGGGTAACTACTGAGTAGAATTTAGCTTAACTGCCTTAACAGCCTGGCCTACCTTAAGAGAGCCGGCCTCCCGCAGCA